ATATTAGGGTTTCGGGTTGAGGGTTTAGGGATATAGGGAAACCTCTCAGGGCTACTGCGGCCTTTGGATTGTCCTGCGCATCATCGGGACAACATGGCCCAGCGCTATTCCACCAGGCCTCAGTACGTATATGGGTAGTTCCCAAGATTAGGGATATACAGGGTTATACAGGGGTATATAAGAGTATAAAGGGCGTTTAGGGTCATATGGGTAGTTCTCAAAATGAGGGTCCTTTTTTGTAGCCTTATCCATTAGGTGCCGCAACAGAATCTATAACCCAAAGGGGCCCATATTTTTGAGAACAACCCATATACAGGTAGGTTGGCTCCCAGGCGGGTTGATCTAAACGTCCATTGCGGGAGATTATTTTCGGGTCCTGTAGGTCTATGTGGAAAAGTAACAGAATCATGTTCCACAGTGACAATTTGCGGAACAGGAACTTTTGCCAACTACCACGTGGATTTAGGGTTTAGGGTTGGGGGTTCCATTACAACCCTAAATATAAAGGGATTAAAGGCTTATTACCTAGTGTCTTACTAAGGGGTTGGGGAACTTACTTATACGTGGTCACGCGAAGGCTATTCTTGGGTTCCTGAGGGATACAGTGTATTACCTAACTCCAGATCTCTCAAAGTAGGGTTTAGGGTTTTGGGGTGTGGGGTTGGGGTTGGCGGTGCTTGGAGGTTCCCTATGATACGGGTTGGGATAGTTGGGGGACAGAAGAGGGACCCCATTTTTTTGGGGGGTACCTTTGTGGGGGTCCCTCAAAACAGCCCATAAATGATCCTCAGACAGACTGGAATCCTTGCCCACCCCAGAGTAGCCGTACATGGAGAAACCCAATCAATTTCAACCTAGGCCCAATATTTCCCTATGAGAACCGTCACATGTCACCAAGTGAAGGTCATCCCATTCAAAGCGACCATGCTAATCCTTAGACACTTAACCCCTACTGTGTGAGAGGCCTTCTTGCCGCTGGTGGTATGGCTGCAGCTGGTTTCGCTGGGGTTCCGTCACAGGGTTTACCCAGATACTCCTATGCGGTTGCTTTGTTGGGCTTGTTGTGGTTTTGTCATAGGGGATTTCCGCATACAGCCCAAGAAGGAACTACATAGGAGCCCCTGGGCAGGGTTTAGAGTTTAAGGTATGCAGGTTTTAGGATTTAAGCGTTTACTGCTTAGGGTAGTAAGGGTTGGAGCTGTTTCCAGTTTTCACCTGCATATCATCCTTGTACCCCGCCACACATTTATTGTGCTTCTAAAGCCGGCTTAGCTACAGTAGATATAGGGTAAGGCTTATAAGCCCTCAGGCCAAATTGTAGGAGTGTCTCCAAATTGTTGTTTTCTGTCTTAGGGTCTCGCGCTAAATAAGACTACACTACATTGAGGGGAAAGTAAGGTGACCCCGAAGCCTACACTCTAAACCCGACTGATGTTGCGAAAGCTACCCAGGCATCAGCACGTTCATGGGTCTTTACCCAGACATCGACGTTCTCACGAGAGACAGGAATGGGTATGTGGGGCACCCGTACGCGTTCCGACTTTTCGCAGTTGTCGTGGGAGACTTGGCCGATTTGGAAATGGTTCTTATGCAGTACCCAGCCTCAGAACCAAAGAGAGCTTCATAAACCATAACAGGCTTCCAAACACTACATCTTATTGGAGCCTCTAAGCCAAAAAGCAAGCTGAGGAAATCTGCTGATTTTCAAGATGAACGCTGCGTACCAGCGGTATTGGGAGGCCAGATAAAGTTGGAGGGCTGAGTGGGCTTGGTGGAGCTTTTCATGGGAAGCAGGATGTTGAAATTGTCGTCCTTCCCTTCCCCACTTTCCAGAATCTGGGAGTTTCTAGTAGGGACTCTCCATTGCCCGCTTACCATCCCCACATATCCCTGGTGCCCATAAGTGTTCCCAATTTCAATACCTTTTGAGCACAATCCAGAGCTTAGGGAGCAGTTTGAGGTCACACCCAAGGAGCTGGGAACCAACCAGGCCTTCTTCGCGAAAAAACTTCCAACAGGACTTGAAGGCAATTCCAATTATTTAGGCCACTATATGTATATACCATATAAGCTATAGTCTAAACTCCTTGAAGGGTGGATATATAGGATATTATATAGGGGACTACCATAAGGGTTATTCAGGGGGATACTAGGAGTTTAGACTATAGCTCATATATACATATATACCATACATATATATATATATAACCCATCCATCAATGGAGGTGAGCACCAATCTTTGTCGCACTTCCGGCCACTCATTCGATGGACCATGCGGTTACTGCGCAAATAGGTATTGTATTATATGCCCTTACAAACCCTGAACCCCATTATGACCCCATTGCAATGCTTGCTGAGTAGGCTACCCATGCATTTGTGACCCCCGGGTCCCCCAAAGTAGGAAACTGTTTTTCAAGGTTTGCCAAAGGGTAGCGAGAGGGTTGACGTGCGGATACAGTCTACAGCTTCAAGGTAGTATACAGTATCTGGGGATTAGTGTTTAGATACAGTATCACCTACCTCCAGCGCTCCTTTCAGAATAGCTGAAGATCTGAGAACCCCTGAACCTCAAACCCTAAACCCCAAACCCTACACCCCAAACCCTGCGTACCAAACCCCCTAAACTCTAAGCCCTAAACCCTAAACTCTGAGCCCTAAACCCTAAACCCTAAACCTCAAACCCCTTTTTTTCTTCAAACCCCCGAAGCCCTGGAGGCTGCGGGAGCCTTACAGTCGATGGCCGCAAAATGGTTGGATGGAGCCTGCATGGCTGTTACCTTCGATGCCGGAGGCTGCTTGGGCATAGGATTTGGGGGGGGGGGGTTAGGGTTTTAGGGTTTTAGTGGTTTTAGGGTTTTAGTGGTTTTAGGGTTTTAGGGTTTAGGGTTTTAAGGTTTTAGGGTTCAGGTTTATAGGGGTTTATTCGGGTTTATTGTGTTCATAGGGCTTATGGGGATTTATGGGTTTATAGGACTTGGGATCTAGGGTCCAGGGTTTACCCTGTATAAATTTGAGTAAGGGCCCAGGATTAGGGTGTTGAGACCCAGGGATATCGTTCTCAAACGATTTGGGTCCTAAATCCAAAACCCTAAACCCTAAGGGCTTGTAGGACCTCGTTGCGAGTAAGGTTATCAAGGCAGTTGCAAGTTGTGGGGTTGCCGGCTTGGTGCTCGAAGGGTTTAGGGTTTAGGGTTTGGGATTTGGGGTTTAGGGTTGAGGGGTTTAGGGTTTAGGGTTCAGTGGCGTGGGAGTGTGGAGTTGAGGGGATGCAGATATTGCCCTGTTGGCGTTGTGTCCGCACCATCCCAGCTAGGACTTTGAGCCACTGTACGGATGTAGGGGTTCAGGGTTTAGGGCTTTAGGGTTTAGGGTTGAGCGGTTGAGGGTATAGGGTTTAGATAGCTGCACAGGCTGAGGCGCACTAAGGAACTATGCCCAGAAGATCCTACCCCAAGGATTGCGGTAAACGTTGAGCAGTCGTTGGAGCAAAGCAACAGGTGGAACCGAGAAGACGTGAAAGCAGCATCTGATAGCAACGGAGTCTGAAGTTAGTAAGAACTACCTGGACCCCAAAAATTTACAAAATAATGGCCTTTATGGCTATTATTAGGGGTTTAGGGCTATTATTTTACATACTTTTAAGGTTTAGGTATTGCACATATCTTAATCCGGGCCACATTCCCAAAACCCTAAACCCGAAACCCATAAACCCTAAACCCTATAATGTGAATCTGAAGCCGCAGTCATGGCTCAGGTGATTCCGACCATCCATATCTGAACGGCAGCGAGTGGCACAGGACCACACTAGACCAAGTTTGGCCGCCTTGCTGTTTTGGGCGTGATTGTGTCAGGTTGCCCTAAACCCCTAAACCCCTAAACCACTAAACCCTAAACCCCTGAACCCTGTAAACCCTAAACCCCTAAACCCTAAACCCCTAAACCCTACAGGTTTGGTGTTTGGGATTGGAGGCCAAGGTGACCCCAGATCAGCTGTACGGCGATGCCGCAGTATACAGGCCCAAGAGGGAGTTTTTCACCCCTACAATTTCCGTAGCCCTCAACCCTAAGCCTCTGTAAACCTTAAACCCTAACCACCCCTCATAATTCCTGTAGCCCTAAGGGGCCCAAGTACGCAATACTCATATACTTTCCCCAAAAACCGGTACTATAATGACTACAACCCACGTCCCAAGTACCTAAATTGAGTACTTGGACCCTTGGGGTCCGCCTAAACCCTATATATCCCTTTCAAGGGACCTAATTATTGGGTACATGGACCCCCTCATAATTCCTGTAGGTCAATGGAGTCCCTACCGTAAGTGGCCCCTGCTTTTTTGAAGAGAATCCCAAGTGAGTAGTATTCTATTTGGGGATACAATGGTACCGAATATAGAGTAAGAATATATCCTTCTTTTGAGGTATCGTATTTTATATAAGAAATATAGTCTTACTAGGTTCAACCACCAAAAAGACACTACTCAAGTCAGCATGTATCGTTGCAGGAGCGCAGAGCCTGATCCCAACACCGGCAGCAAGGAACTCCGTCTGAACGAAACTGCTTCGCTTGTTTTCTAAGGGCTCATGTACCCAATAGTAATACTGATAGTAAGAAGAAGGTACCTTGAAAGTTTTTTTCCATGGGATATGCAGGGATATATGAGCGACCGCTTTTATTATCGTGCAGGAGCCAAGAGCAGGCAGAGATAAAATCTAAGGACATACGCAAAAACCTAGTAAAGCGATAGCCACCCCCCAACATCGATGCCCCCGAAATGGATGACAGCAGTACGCAAAAACCCTGTAAAGCGCCAGGCGCCCCCCAAAGCGATTTGTTACCTAGCTGTTGACTAATAATTTAGGTAGCTGCTCATATACGGAACTGGGGATTTGGAAAATAGCGGTCGTAGTCGAGGTTTCGGTAAGTATATGACTATTGGATATTTGGATTCGGGGAGGTTCATAAGAGAGTTACATAGACCGGATAGGGTTCATGTAGGAATACATGTATATGTAGGGGTTGGTTATAAGGGTCGTTGCCACATCCATGGCCTCCGAGATTCCAAATGCCATGTGATGCTGACTCAGAGGTTTGATGGCCGCCCGAGGTATAACCTTAGATCGAGGACGCCTCTCAAGCTAAGACTTGTTCCGGATGATTTTAGGAGCAGAGTGCTTTCTTCAAATGAGGTGAGCTGGTGGAACCAGATTTTGGATGATGCGAAGACTCGTTGAGGGTTATGGGTTTAAGGTTTAGAAGTTGAGGGCTTCGAGTGTTGGAGGGTGTGGTCGGTACGTATGCTGGACATGAACGGCCCCAACCCAATCCCTGGTCCTGAACCCATGTACGCTGCCCTCCAACACCCATGCCTCAATCTTCTTAAGAGGACTTTGATGAGTAACCCCAAACCCCAAAACCAGGACCGTCTGCCTGTCATACGATCCTGATAGGTTCCTTGTTACAAGGGTTTGGTGAACCTGAATTATCTTATTATCAACACAAAGCCCAAACATCGTCCAGGGCGGCCCAGATCATGCCGAGTATGTCCAGGACGTGCTCCACTTGTGTAGCCTCTTGGCACCAACACATTCTCATTAAGTTGTTTCCGGGATTTGCAGGCATCATCCGTTAGCATAACAAGGGTTCATCAGGTTTACTCAGTGCAGGCTTGTAGGGGCTTAGAGGGCTTGCTAAGGTTTAGGTAGTCTAAATTAATAGGAACGCTGATTATTCATGCAAGGCATCAGTTGCAGTTGTGTGTGCGCTCAGAGAGGTTTAGCGCAAGTGTGCGCGGCATACTCACGTAAAGGGTCCAGGTGCTAATATGGTATAAAGTATCTATTCCAAATTAGGGGGGCGCATGTCCTGGAAAGACGATGTCAGAATCAACACCCTGTAGTCCTGACACCAGTGCTCTGCTCCCACAAAGATACCCTCCACACACTTCGCCTTATATAGCACTCAACTTGTGGGTATGTAAGATACGGGAGCTCCCTATTTCTGACCCTTTTGGGAACTCCGAAAGGGTTCCCGAACTTTTGGAACCCCGCAAATAGGCGTGTGCCCTAAACCCTAAACCCTGTAGGAACCTCAGCTTCAAGAATGCCTTGGGAGTCTCGCAAGCTATACACGGCACCTACTGTCGGCCCTAAACTGAATTACTGCTTAGGAACTTTTAGATGAAGTTACTAGAGTTAGGAAACTCTTTTATCTATTATATACCAATATTATGGGAGCTTGTTTAAGTTCCTTAGCAGCATGCTGGCGCAGTCTGTACAGATTCCCTTCCTCAGGCAATGTTGGGCCTTGGGGTGATGGCTCCTCAGGAAATTAGAGAAGAGGTCGGCCAACAACTCTATGAGCTTTGGCTTACAAAGTTCAATCCCCAAACCTTCAAATCCAGAATATCCAGCATTCAGCGTGAAAGCTTGATTTAATCATAAAACGCTATCGTGCGCCCGCCTCGGCTGGCGGGGTGCGGAGCACACGAATAGGTCATGGTATGTAGTTGACACGTGGGCTTTAGGGTCGAGGAGGTACGTGAGGCAAGCCTAACTTCAGAAGTCTTTGTTGCATGCCTGTTCCAGCATTCATGCAGGGGTTGGCTGGGCTTGGTCCATCAGCCTTTAGTGAGGGAGTTCGCAAGCTTCGAGAGCCGCAGCCCTAGAACCGGCCTCAAGGATCAGGGCTGCGTTTCAGGGTCGGAAACTGTATGTCCCCAACCGCAATTCGCAGCTACTCCCCGGATCCTGAATTTTTCCTGGCCGGTACACACGGCCAGAACGCAGACCCGCCACGTAGCAGAATCCTTAGTATACAGCATCTCGTGTCTCCTTCACCTCGTCCACATAGCTGCTGAGAAGAGCTTTGGGAGGGGGGAGAAGGGTGGGGAGGGGGAGAAGGGGTCAAAAGGGAGGTTTTGGAGGAAAACTGCTCGCTGTACTGGCCTTGAATGTGGGGCGAGGCTGGAATTTCACGCTGGACTGGGGGTCGCCCGACAGGGAGGGAGTCTGCAAAGGTGGTCTGCAAAGGGGCAAACGCCCTGAGGCTGGATAATTGTTCATATTGTCCCCTCATGGCTTACAGGCATAGTTAAATTGTACCCCAATGTCGAATCTCTAGGTACACACCGTGAAGCAGTGTGAGGCGGTTCAGCAGCAGCTGTTGCGGCTTTTTCTACGGCGTAACGAGAGCGACGACTCGTTTTTTAAGGCCCATAAACAGTAGAGCGTTTCCAATGCCAAAGGGCTCTTGAACACGAACCTATCTTCTGGCCCGAGCCCTTCAAACCTCAACGTTAAATCCCAGGGCTCTGCGGCTCTACAGTGCTTTGAACCTGACAACTTGAGCCTCCTTGCAACGGATTCCTCAGAGGTTTGCTGCATGCGGTGACGCTCCAACATCTCCGGAGAGATGGAAATCTGGACAACCTGGTGCCCTCCAAACTGGGACCCCGCAGCGGACTGAGTTTGGAGACTGTGGGCCAGGGTGTTCTTATGGAATAATGGAAAAGAAAATCGACACTACTATGGTATATTGGGGGTTAGTTCAAGGATTCCTTAGCTAGGCAGAGAAAAACCCAAGGTATGAATAGACTAGAATGAACTTATCAAGTATTGTGACAGACAGCACCGCTACCAGTGCCCCGGAACATCTACCTAGTGTTCCGTAGTATACCTAGTGCTTTAGATGCGCACTCTGAGGCTCATTGAGGACATGAGGTAGACGTGTGATTTGTTCAGATGTTTCCTGGAAGCCTGTTACTGGACCCGAACCTTCCGGGTTTAGGGTCTGGGGTTTGGGGCTTCTGGCGTCAAAATGAGCTTCTGAGTTCTTCCCGTAAGCCGTAAACCCAAGCCCTGTGGACGTCACCCAGCTTAAGCCCATGCATACCCTACGCGCGTGTTCAGATTTACGTTACACTTCTTTCCGGGAATTTCTTTGACGCAGTCGAACATCATTGAATCGGAAAACAATGGTCCGAGGAGAAAGGCCACCAGCTTCATTGGGTCTTGTACTGACATTGCAAAAAAATCCACCGACAGCTCCAAAGATCGGGCTTTCCAAGGGTTTGGAGATTTAGGGTTAAACCCTCCAGGGTAGGCTTCAGGGCTGAGGCTGACGCGCGCGCGTTCTGGATTCAATCGGATTCGGAAGTTTAGCGTGGAAATCACCACGCCCAGCGCGTGCTCTGCAGCAGCCAAGGGCACACCGTGCTGCCAAACAGTCCGTCCTTCTGGTCGGAGAGGCTTTGGGAGAAGTTTATGGCTTAAGTGTTTCAACTTGGACAGGCTCTGACTCCGCAGGAATTACACCTTCCCACATCTGCTAGTCACATAGCTGTTGACAGATGGGGTACAGGACGCATTAGCATACCTGCTTGAGCAGTCACCTGCACCTGCGTAACGGGGATCTCGATTAGGAGCGAGGTGTCATCTTGCCACAAATCCCGTATTTCCTGTCACAAGCTTTCTCTGGCCAGTGTTCCCTGCAGGTCAATGTTCTCTCCTGAGCACATCTCAGACCTCTACAAAATACAGAAGCTGCCGGTCCTGGGTGGCTTACGACCTGAGGACGGTATGTAGGGGTCAGTGAGTGGGTTAATCAGATAACTGGGGTTTTATATGGATCAGAGTTGAGAGGGGTGATAAGTATACATTGGAAATCCCTTAATCTTGTTCTTTTCCATCACTTACTAAGTCTTCACTCTATGAATAATCTCTGTTCTGGACCTTTTGATGCCTAGTGCTTGTCTAGGGTAGACGAGTTACTGTACACGATTAGGAAAAGACAAAACATGCCACCGGGTCAAAACCCATTGTCCCTGAGAGCACAGTATGAACCAACTGCTTGAGTGTTGCGCAAGATATCTACCTGGGTTTATCCGCTGTTTGAGCTGATTGATAACTCGCACACATCCGAACACGACTTCGGAGAGATTTGATTCTTAGGGAATTGTGTGGCCTTAACGCATAAGCTTGGATAGGCCCTATTGTAGTGCCACAAGAGACAATGATTGTTGTTTTTTGGGTCCGCCCAACCTTTGACCCAAATCGTACGGATCGCTATCGGAATTCATTCCCTTTCTCCCTAAACTCTGATTCCTCAACTGCGAGCCGCAAGCCATGATTTTCCCATTTGCGCCATTCTCCCCCTAGCTTTATAGGTCCCCAACAATTCCTAGAGCTCTCAGGCTCCAAGTACCCAAGAATCATATGAGCTACAGTCTAAACGCCTTAAAAAGGGATGATATAAGGGATTATCTAGGGGACTACTACAGGGGATATTAGGGGGGATACTGGGGGTTTAGGGGCGATACCAGGAGTCTAGGCTATCCCAAACTTGTACTATATTTACTAGTGCCCAAAACCCAAGTACTTGATTATTGGGCACGTGGACCCTCTGGATAAGTTTTAGAGCACAGTGCTTGGTACCTAATGCTTGGACGCTCTATGTGCTGCTTTCCAGTACCTGGACCCCAAATCTGTGTAAGATAATGGCCTATATGGCTGTTATTATGGGTTTAGGGCAATTATTTTACATACTTTTGGGGCCTCAACCCTTTTTATCCCTACATACCCCTATATAATTATCCGCTATATACCCGTATTATAGTAACTTAACTTAATTTCCTTAACAGCAATACCTGTATTATAGTAACTTAAGTTAATTTCCTTAACAGCAATCCCAAACGCTGAAGTCTAAACCCTAAACCCTAAACCCTAAAACGCTAAACCCTAAAACCCTAAACCGTGTAGGTAAGCAATGACAGGAGAAGCTGGCCCTTCAGACGGACAGCAAAGGCCAAGAGCTACCGACATGCGCACGAGCCGCCATGGCTCGGCCCTTAGGGTTTAGGGTTTTAGGGTTTAGGGTTTTAGGGTTTATAGAAATTGTATAGGGTTCATGTCCGGAGTTTTGTGCGTTACCAAAACTAGGGGTACCGTATTGGGGGTGCTTATCATAAGGACTATAGTATTTGGGGATCTATATCGAGGTCCCCCTATTTGAGGAAACCACCATTTGGGATGCTTGCTACTGATAACTTATCGTTTTTGAGGGGAGCCTGCTCAGAATTGTTCGTGAGCCCTCATAAAGCATTCCTTCAGGGTTCAGGGTTTAGGGTCACTAGGTTCTTTATAGATTGAATGTTAGTCATCCGCTGCCAAACTTCCTTACATGAAATCTGGGACCACTCCCCCTCAAGGACTCTAGGGCCCGTGTTGCTGTATCAGATCAGGTGGTATTATCAGTAGTACGCTAAGGGTCCAAGTACCTAATAATCATATACTTACCCAAAACCTTACTAGGATTACTACTACCCAAATCCCAAGCACCTAAATATTGGGTACATGGACCCTTAGCGTAATAAGAACCATGCGGTGCAGAGTGCAGTCTAGAGAAGCTTTGAAGCCATCAGGCTTAGGAAATAAGACTTGTGGAGCTGGAAGAACGCCGCGGCTTTTGTGTAGTTTCCACAAACCCTAAGGGTCCAAGTACCCAATAATTAGGTACTTGGGTTTTGGGTAATAGTAATTTTATTGCAGGTTTGGGGTAAGTATTTGGTTATTGGGTACTTGGACCCTTAGAGTTGCTTTTGCCCCATGGCCCCTCTGGAGCATCCAACATATCAAATCCTTGTACCCCCAAAAGCGTACCCCGAATTTTAGCAAACCCTCATATACCTCCTAAACCCTAAACCCTAAACCCTAACCTACCTGGCTGAAAGGTGGAGGGGTGGTTCATGCGCCGCCTCATCGGTCGGCAAAAGTTCGAGCAAGGCTGAGTAAACGTCTCTCCATGCACACTACATTCCCTAAGGGTCCATGTACCCAATAATTAGGTCCCCTTAATTAAAGGGATATATAGGGTTTAGGGTTTAGGGTTCTAAGGGTCCATGTACCCAATCCTTAGGTACTTGGGATTGGGGTAATAATATTTATAGTACAGGTTTTGGGTAAGTATATGATTATTAGGTACTTGGACCCTTAGGGATTACTCCCCTCCCATGAAGAATAGTTCCCTTTAAGGTTCAGAGTTCAGGGTTTAGGGTTATTACTCCCTTCCCCTTAAGATGGAAACCCGCGCCGCCTATTCCCATAATATGAGCTGGGTGGCGGGTTTTAGTCCGTAAACCCTTAACCCTAAGCCCTGCAGCTTAGATCCTTCTAAACGCAGTATGAAGATCCCATGATCTCGCTCCGCGAAACCAACGCGGTTTACGATTTAGGGTTTACCGTAAACCTCAAGCCCTAAACTCGGATAACCCTAAGCCATAATCCTGAAGCCAAGGTTTAGTGTTTGGGTTAAGGGTTCAAGCCCTAAACTGGGATTACCTTAAGCCCTGAAGCCACGGTTTAGGGTTTAGGATTTATGTGCTAGGGTTTAGGGCTTGTAGGGTTCAGGGTTCAGGTTCAAGGGTTTAGGGCGGGCCTGAGAGGCGAGACTTCGAAGACCTCGCCCCCGATCTTGAGCCGTCTATACCAGGCCTGTGTTGTGAGGATGTCTGCCTGCTGCGGATTGAGGGCTTTCGGGGTTATAGATTAGTCCCAGCTCAGTGTTGTTTAGGTGGGTCCATAAGGATACGCTAGGCGGGTTCATAGTGATAATGTCTTATACGGACTATGGTGGGGCCTCTTGCCTTTCAAGCTGTCGTTCTTTTGAGCGTATCCTTATGTACATATTTGGCTTCGAGTTAAGACTCTGGAGTTAATGCTTCTGTGCATTGTGTTGCTGGGGATCCTTCAATTGACGGTGAAAAATCCTACTTTCGAGACATTGCCATGCCATTGTCTCTGGCTCAAGAGGTAGGTTCTCCATTGTTGCAATCATCAATCATCAACATCAGTGCGGCTAAAGGTGACAGAGCACCTTCTATATTCCATACTTTCAGTCGATAGCCACCACATTGGTAAGCAACGTTGACTGTAGTTCAGATGAGAAACTCTGAAACCCTAAACCCTAGATCCTACCTTCAAGAGCCCCGGACCTCCGGAGCCGCGAGTTTTCCGAAAAATGGTTTTCCCACCAGGCCTTCGCAACCAGGAGAGTTGTTTCAACATCTTCCTTGTACAACCCCAAGTTAAGACGCTCAAAATGCTCTCAACAATCACTAGATATCCCCCTAGGCTCTTTTGTGTTCCCTCTTTCTTGAGAAATCCCCATATCAAGGTCAACCCTAATTAACCCTCAGCAGACAGCATTTCTTTACAGTACCACTCTTCCCCATCCATGTTTATAGCACCCACTGAAAACTGCGGTTCTACGTAGTCTTAGTGGAGCGCACTCAGCACAAAAAAAGCTGCGTGATCTTTTTGCAGCACTAGACTATACAACCGATGACATTCAAACAGCTTATCCACAAACCCAGCCCAAACTCACTGGTACTTAGTAGGGAAAAAAGCGAAATATAATCCAATCCCCTATAATCCCTATATATGATATGTTCCCTTATTCCCTACTACCCCCCCCCGCCCCGCAGTAAGTACAGGTGATCTCGGATGGCACCCTGTGGTCGTACACAGCCGCGAAGAGTGAGACTTTCCTGGGTTTAGTGGTTTGGGTTGAGGGTTCAGAGTTTAGGGTTGTTTTAGGGTTGGGTTCAAGGTTTTTAGTTGAGGGTTTTGGGTTTAGGGGTCTAGTGTTTGAAGTCAGGGTTCAGGGTAGGCGAGTGAGGTTCGATGCAGGATTTGGGTTGTCAAGCTCATGGCCCGTTTTAAGGTCATGTTGAAGGTTCATGGCTTGCTCCTTGGCAGTCGGGTTGGAACTCTTCGTTAGACTAGATCTCGTGTGTTTGAGGTTGAACGGCAGTTCCAAACATGGTGAGTAAATCTTTTCCGTTTGGCGGTTTACAAGCTGCTCGTCCTGTAATGGATGATTATTGACCCCCCCATGCCCCATGCGCTAAATCCAAATTCCGGTCTCCTTCTTCCAACCCTGGGATCCCATAAGGGTCCAAGTATCTGAATATTATGTATTTCCCCGCTTCCCCAAACCTATACTTTTAGGGTTTAGGGCTTAGATATTTTTGCCCTATTACCAAAATGTCCAGTTACGAAACTATTTGTTACCTGGTCCTTTTGGGGTATAGCTGGCTCCGAGAACCTTAAACCCGAAACCCCTATAAACCTGAACCCCTATCCACCCGTTACCTCTATAAACCCAAAGCCTCTAAACCGGAATAATCCTCATGGTCTTGGAACAGGCGCCTACATGATTAGCCTTTAAGCGGGTTTAGCGGCTGTGGACGTCCCATGAAGGATTCTATATATGGATAATTTTGAGAAGCTCCCGTGTCTGCCCAGTCGGAGATTCCCTTTCCATTTCCTTACCAGAACTTCGTCGAGGCGCCTCCCTGACAAAAACATTCAGGGAATCACATGGGCTGTTCCCTAGGGTCGCGTTTGGTACCCCTAAGTAGTAGGTGCCGTGATATAATCTATAAACAAAAGAAGCCCATAAATTTGAGTTTCTCATAGTTGTTGGCCCTTGGCACCGCACGAGCTTTTCGGGCAGCACACGTATAGGGGCTCTTTTGAGAATCTCCCATGTGTGTCCCGAATGGGCACAGTCCCTCAACGAAGCCTTGGCATTTTCGGATGAACCTTCCCTCAAAAGGGTCTACAGGTCAAGTTTGAACGAAAGTTGGTGAGTGTAGGCCACACGATTGAGGCTTCCCCAGACGGTTCAGGTACTCACATGGTATACGTTCAGGCCACAAAGTAACCTACACAAGAGCCTGTTTGGGTCCAAGTGTATTATGCTATATAGGCACCTGGACCCTTTGGGCTTATAGGACTCAAGGACACGCCAGGTGAGAGGTTCCAGCTTAGAACGTGGGGCTTCATTGGAAACCGGGCTTCCCCAGTCAGGATAAACATCACGATGCGGTATGGCATGATTGCTGGCGATTCCTTTGGCGAGTGTCAAGGTTTTTGCCAGTTTAAGCGTTTGTGTTCGATGTGTTGCCATTCCTGTTTGTTTCTTTGCTGGTGGTGTCAGTGCGGTTCCAGACGATACTATCCTCACTTGGCGTGATGGGACGATAGCATGACAGTTAACGCGCAAAAAAGGTCTACATTGTCGGGTCCAGGGCACATTCTTATGTGAGCTATAGTCTAAACTCCTTAAAGGGGGTTTATATGTGGAAATATGTAGGGAACTGCTATAGGGGTCATGAAAGGGGATACTAGGAGTTTAGACTATGGCTCATGTGGCTCTTTCGTGACACGCAAAGCCGAGCGCTGCTACTTTGAGGTTCATGGGACTTAGTTTCCATTTCATGTTCCAGATGTTTCCACTTGACTCTGCACTATCCCTCATTAGCGCCTGGACCCCAAATCCTGAAACCCTATACTTTAAATCCTAAACCTTAAATCCAAAATCCCCTACCCTGAACCCTAAACCCCAAACCCTAAACCCTAGAAGCCCCTAAGCAGGTCATGGTGTGGCTCTTCAGCTTCTTGGCACCAGTGGTCATCAACGGGATCATCTTCGAACAGTTCCTGAGGCCTGCGAGATTGTGCGTTTAGGGCTTCGGGTTTATAAGCTCTATAGGGTTTAGGGTGTACCGTGAAGAGTTTATCGGGCTGTATCATGGGGTTAGATACCTACGCCCCGTACCCGAGACCCTCAACCCTAAACCCAGCCCTAAGGGGCTCATTATTATTATTAGTAGTAGTAGTAGTAGTAGTAGCAGCAGTAGTAGTAGTAGTAGTAGTAGTAGTAAAGTAAAGTAATAATAACAATAATGATGATAGTGTAGTAGTTTCCAAAGGAGCGCGGCATCCCTAACAGAGTCCCTGTAGAGCCAGACATCTGACTTCTTAAGGGCTCATCTTCGGTTCCTACGGCAGTAACAGGGTTTAAGGAGCTTGGGAGTATGGACTTAGGCTTCAGGCTTCAAGGTTTAGATGTAAAATGAGTTCTCCTTCACCCACCCTCAGAAGTACCACATGAAACACCTGGGAGCTTAAACCCTGAACACCCCAAACCCCCTTACCCCCAAAGTCCCTGAAGCTGCAACAGCTATAGTCTCCCCTACGTAGATAGAATACGGCTGAAGGTATATAGTAGGATTTAGGGTTTAGGGTTTAGGGCTTAGGGTGTAGGGTTTAGCGATTCGGGATAGAATATGGTTTTGGGTATATTATAATAAGATCCCCATATACCCCATATTCAATCTACTTAAAGGGGACTATAGGGGTTAGGGGTTAGCGTCCACTCAACCTTCCTAACCACCTCCATAAACTGCACCTCAACTGGGGGGTCCGGTTTTTTTTGGTCTATACTTGTACCAGTTCTCAGTCCATTGACATAGAGTTTTAAGTACTGTCATCATGTTCTAGAGACCCAACCCGGAATCTCCGGACATCCCGCGAACACTAGAACTTCAATTGCACATCAAACCCTTCAAACACAAATCCTCAACTACTTGACTCTAATTAAGTCTCTTACCATCGTCATTCAGTGTGTGCCCGGACCTCACATGATTCCCAGGACCGTGGCAAGCTTTACCGTAGTGCTCTGCTTCCATACGCTGAAAAACACGAGCGACGTCATGGAGGACATGTGTTGCGCCTACCTAAACTCTTGAAGTCAACGTGGTGTTGCTCTCCAGAGGGTTTTGCAGCCATATTGTAGGGTCCTTGCTTCGGGGTTGGGTTGGTAAAGTCCTCTTGTTAGGAAGGGGATATGTGGAAAAATACGATAGTTCGAGGGCTAGGAAGGTCTCCTTGCTGTTGGCCATGTGACCCAGTTACTTCGCAGGAAGAAGGAGGTAGTTTCCCAACATGGTGAGTTTTCCTGCAAAATGCCATCAATGAGGGCGCAATGTCGACACATCACATGTGTGCATATGTGCAGATGTGAGGTCAAGTTTACATTTTCTGAACATGCGTTGAATCTGAACCCAACATGGACATATCACGTGTACATATATTTATATATATATATATCTCTACTGAACTGGTTATCGTTACACAAGTTGTTTATATTTGGAGGATACGGTGGGCGGTGTGAATAGATACGTAGCTTTGGGGCCGTAGGCGATATCAACTTGTAGCTTGGAAATGTTTGACGAATGTTTTTGCCCAGATCGTGTGGTGGAGGTGCGAAAGCATGCATGTGAGATTTTCTCGTAATTCTTCCAAGCAGACGGTGCGGTCACAGCACTGCTGTGGATGGGGAAGAAGACGGCCCAATGGTGGCAGATCTTCCATTCGATGTTCCGAAGACCGCTTTGCCCGCCCACACTCCTCTCACAAGCAAAGTTACCTTCTTGGTGTCCCGTGTGACTTCAGTCCCCATCAGTCATCCATCCAAGAAGGGAGCCACGTGCGTGTTGCGGAATGTGTGCAAAGTATGGCGATCTCACCCGACCTCTCCTTAAATGGTTGTTGATTTAGGAATGTTAGGAAAAAGCCCAAATTTGCTGAATTTCAGGTTCTGAATAATTGGTTCTTGAAATGAACGCCTGTACCGTATTGCCAGCCAAACCCCTGTCAAGCTTCGTAGATGCCTTCTAGAGATACAGCATAGCCCCTTATCAACATCCAGGCATGCCAACCCTAAACCCTAAACCGCAGTCCAAACCTTCCTTGGGGCGTTGCCGGTAGGATCCTTATCTGCCGTATGATCCGAACGCACCATGGCTGCTGACGCGAAAGGGAAACGTGTATAGTATTGGGCTTAGGATTTAGGGAAGGTATATAGTATATGAGCTATAGTCTA